AGTGGTGGTTGAGGATAACGGCCCCGAAGCGCCGGCATTCAGACGGACGGACGGAGCTTCTGAATTCGGGTACTGCGGAGGGAAGCGTGGAAGGGTGAGTCTGGAAGATGAGACAGGCAGCCTTCGTTTCGGCTTTGCCCGTGAGAGTGGGGTCATGTCCTGCATCTGACTTCGGTTCTAAACCTTAACTTAAAAGCTTGACGTGGAAACGTAATGTACAACCTCTTTTTTCTTTTTAAAATTTGATTAATTGACACAGAGATTGGTGTATCCACAGTTAAATTGTGTTCAGGACACAAACCCATACAGAAGCGGGGGCCGGGGGGGAATTACCCCGCTCCTGTGGACTGAGGCTTTGCTTTACCAGGTTGGCCCATGTGTCTCCAACTCCACTGCTGTCCTGTGCCCATCTTATAAGCATGAGGTTGTCAAACCCTATATAAAGAAAATGCTAGCAAATACTACAAGCACAGTGAAAGGAAATAACTTTCCTGGGATTCCTGGTGCTCCTGCTAAATTGACCTTGTTTTTAGCAATATGACATATTTTGCAAAATTTGTGTGGTTTAAACCAGTGTGCCATGGTGTGCCTAAGAAAAGGCAAGATACAATAATGACTATAATCAGTGCCTTTCTCTAATGTGTGGTCCACTCACTTGCTACGAAGAAAAAGCCAAAAGCAGACAAGGAAAAATGATGTGAAGGTTACTTAAAGTCTCTGAAGAAATTATGTTAAAAGTAATTGTTGGTACTGGTTAGGAGTGGACGCTTTTTACTATGTTTTATTTTCCAGATTCAGAGTTGTTATGTTCAAAGCAAGTATTAAGAGGATTTTTGTATTTAAAATCTGTAATTTTCATTGTTTCAACCGAGTAAATTGTAGTTTCAAATGTTACCGTTTTGAAATAACATTGCCTTGCCTTCAGTCAGCACAGTCATTTTTTTCTCTGATATTTTTAATGTTGTTTTCTTTGCGTATGTGTGCTAGAACCATCTGATTAGAAAAATAGACGGTGCAGATGATAATGGGACTGTCAGGATGTCTAATCAGCAAGGGTAATCATGGTAAACAAGCAGTGAATGACTTGAGGAAAGAGCACAGCGGCTTTCCAAAATTATACACCATCCTTCCTTGTCAGCATCTCTCAGCTCAGCCTTCCGTATACCTCTGCACATCCCAGCCTTTGTCATCCCATTTGCACCCAAGCTCTGTCCTTTCGGTTCAG